TAGGGGCGGCAGCTCCTAGGATAAGGATAAGTCTAATTAAGATCCAAGAATTCAAGATAAGCAAGGGATCCAAGAATCCAAGATTAGCAAGATAAAGCAAGACTCTTCCAAGATTAGCAAGATAAAGCAAGACTCTTCCAAGATTATCAAGAAAGACTCCAAGAAGCATCAAGATTAGCAAGATAATCCAAGATYCATGCATCTAGGGAGATCGGACGGTGGAGATCAAACCAAGAAGAGTTCGATCCTATCAGATTAGATATTTAGATCTATCCTAATTGTTATTTCCTAGTTCTTTTACAATTTCCAAATGTATTATAAATACTGCTATTTTCCCAAAATTATGAATCAATTCATACTTCATATTTTCAGAATTTCTTCAAGTTCTCTTCTTGAATTTTCGCCACCTTTTTTCTCTCCTAGAGAATTTGGTATTTTTCGCTAGACACTAGCAATCGCCCGGTGCTTGCATAGCCAGCTCCGGTTTCCATTGCTTCCACGCTGCGTCAGGTGGTATCAGAGCGGGAGTTCGCCTAGTCAGATGGCCAATCAAGACGGTAGCAGTCGCAACCCACCCCATGACGGAGATCAGGGGTTTCCAGCTGTTTGGAGAGCAATCGAAGAACAGCGTACAGCCACACGTAACATCGAGTAGCAGTTGGCAGAGATGGCTGAACAACTACGAACCTTGTTACGGGAGGTTGCTCCACGGAACCGGGAACATCCACAGCAAATCGAGGGAGACGACCACGACAGACCACCCGTCCATACTGTGCTACGACGACCTGTCCTAGACGACGACAATGATGATGATCTGGAATTTGGTGGTGCTCCAGTTCTTCCTAGCAACGACAGAAACGGTAGAAATTGGCACAATCAAGGTAATTTCAATCCCCGTAGGAATAATGATGAATTTAAACTCAAGGTAGATATTCCTACTTTTAGTGGAGATCTGAGGGACTTCTGGATTGGATCAAAGAAGTCGATAGGTTCTTTGATTACATGGAGATACCAGAGGAACGAAGGGTAAATTTCAATGGGGAGAAGAACAAGAGCAAAGTTTTGCTCTCATAAAAGAAAAATTATGTACTGCTCCTGTTCTTGCCTTATCAGATTTTAATAAATTATTTGAAGTTGAATGTGACGTTAGTGGAGTTGGCATAGGGACTGTATTGTCTCAAGAGAAAAGACCCATTGCTTTCTTCAGTGAAAAATTATGTGAAGCCAGGAGAAAGTGGTCTACTTATGACAAGGAGTTCTATGCTGTGGTTAGAGCCTCGAAGACATGGGAACACTATTTAATTGCAAAAGAATTTGTTCTCTATATTGACCACCAGGCCCTAAAATATCTTAGTGGGCAAAAGCAATTAAGAAGCGATTTACATGCCAGATGGTCTGCTTTCTTAGACAAGTTCCCATATAAAATTGTGTATAAGACAGGACAACAAAATAAAGTGGCTGATGCACTTAGTAGGCGTGTAGCTCTCATCAAGACCCTCAGTGTTGAGATTGTGGGTTTTGAATGCTTAAAAGACTTATATGCCCAGGATGAGGACATACAACAAGTATGGGAGAAATGTGTGAATAGACAGCCAGCAGATGACTTTTACATCTATGAAGGGGGAACAACTGTGTATCCCTTGCACCTCCCTCCGCGAAAAGATCATCAGGGATCTGCATGGGGGTGGATTAGCAAGACACCTGGGAAGGGATAAGACCATTGAAGTAGTTAAAGGGCGTTATTACTGGCCGAAGTTAAGAAGGGAAGTGTCCACTATTGTAAGCAGATGTTATATTTGTCAGACAGCTAAGGGACAAACCCAAAATACTGGTTTCTACATGCCCCTACCCATTCCTATTGCTATATGGGAAGACTTATCCATGGATTTTGTGCTAGGCTTGCCAAAGACCCAGAGGAACATGGACTCCGTCTTCGTGGTGGTTGATAGATTCTCAAAAATGGCTCACTTCCTTCCATGCAAGAAAACAACAGATGCATCTGCTACAGCCAAATTGTTTTTCAGGGAGATTGTCCGTTTGCATGGGGTACCCAAGACCATCACATCAGATCGTGACACACGGTTCCTCAGTCACTTTTGGATGACTCTGTGGAGGTTGTTTGATTCATCACTTAATTTCAGCAGTACAGCCCATCCACAGACAGATGGATAGACAGAAGTGGTAAACCGGACCTTAGGGAATTTAGTTCGCAGCATATGCCGGGAGAGGCCAAAACAGTGGGACTTCGCCATTGCCCAGGCTGAGTTCGCCTATAACAATGCAGTGCACAGTTCTACAGGCARATCCCCATTCTCCATCGTATACATGAAGGTCCTTGACCATGCACTGGATTTAGTGAAGCTACCCAAAGTACCCAGCGCCAGTATCCAGTAGAGCAGATGGCAGAACAAATCCAGTCCGTCCAAGAGGCCGTGAAACAGAAGCTAGAGCAATCCAACCCCAAGTACAAGATGGCCGCAGACAAGCACCGTCGACCTCAAGTGTTTGATATAGGTGATGAGGTTATGGTCTTCTTAAGGAAGGAATGGATTCCCGTAGGTACTTACAACAAGTTGAAGCCTTGGAAGTATGGTCCATATAAGATTGTGAAGAAGATTAATGACAATGCCTATGTAGTGGATTTACCAGATCATATGGGTATATCCAAGACCTTCAACGTTGCTGACCTTCATCGGTACCTGCCGGAATTAACACTTGCCTATCCTAGTCACGACTCGGGGTCAAGTTCTTTCCAAGTGGGGGAGAATGATGGAGGCCCATCACAAGGCCCATCTCACCCCTAGGGGCAGCAGCTCCTAGGATAAGGATAAGTCTAACTAAGATCCAAGAATTCAAGATAAGCAAGGGATCCAAGAATCCAAGATTAGCAAGATAAAGCAAGACTCTTCCAAGATTATCAAGAAAGATTCCAAGAAGCATCAAGATTAGCAAGATAATCCAAGATCCATGCATCTAGGGAGATCAGACGGTGGAGATCAAACCAAGAAGAGTTCGATCCTATCAGATTAGATATTTAGATCCATCCTAATTGTTATTTCCTAGTTCTTTTACAATTTCCAAATGTATTATAAATACTGCTATTTTCCCAAAATTATGAATCAATTCATACTTCATATTTTCAGAATTTCTTCAAGTTCTCTTCTTGAATTTTCGCCACCTTTTCTCTCTCCTAGAGAATTTGGTATTTTTCGCTAGACACTAGCGATCGCCCGGTGCTTGCATAGCCAGCTCCGGTTTCCATTGCTTCCACGCTGCGTCAATTAGAATCTATCTTTATTCACCACTTGGTTGAACACAATATTTAACACCAAAATCTGGTATTCTATCATCACAAGTATTAAAGTCACAAATTCATCAGCACCATCTCAGCACGTAAACATCACTCATTAACCTTCCCAAGAGAATCCACAGCTCCAAGAATTCACCAACTACACTTTCCTTCCATTGTGGATCACAGAACCAAGAGTAGGAACTGAATAATCATCACTTCACAACTTTCACCCCTCGCATTCTGCATTATCATTGCCTTGACTCATAATCAACATATCATACTTGATCAGCTTGATTTCTCCTTGTCTTGAACAAATAGAATATACCTCAGTTCAGCATCACAAAACTTGAGAAAGGAGAAAGAAACATCAAGAGAAATAATGAAGAGGAGGCAGACCTAAATTCCCCTCAATATTTCTCAAGGAAAAGAAAAACTGAAATAAAGCGAGAAGTGAACTCTGACCCGATCTGATAACAAACCTTGCTCTGATACCATGAATATGGTATAGTTTATGTGAACAAAAGAAGAGAAGATAAAGAGGGGAAGAGAAAGAAAGAGAGCACTCATGCTGGAGATGGAGTCTGCTGATTGATGTGAAAAGCAAGTATCCGAATTGTACAGTGCAAGGTTACAAATATAACCTTGAGTAATAATACAGAACTGCTCATAATACCCTTACTAAAAGTCACAAAACTGAATGGACTAATATAACCCATTCTAAACAAGTAACGGTAATTAGAAACAAATCTGTATTACCACTCCCCCCCCCAGTTCTTCTGCTGTCAGCACCGAAGAGATGCATGCAGTATGTGGGAGTTCATGCACCTCAGTGTTTTTTTTTTGAACATGTTGTGTTAACACACAGTATCAAGATGCCTATTACACTTCAAAAACAGAGACCTGGATTGCATAACATGCTTAGGGTACATGTGTACAAGATACATAGTTACACATAAAGTTGATTGTCCTTTTGAAATGGGTTTGAAAGAAAAACATACAAGGTGAGATGACACATTGGTGATTTTTTTTTTATTGACTTTCTTTTTCCTGTTCCCTATCTCATGGAGTATGAAAGACTACTTTGGATTGCCAGAGGCTTGAAAGAAGACATAACTACCTAAAAAGATAATACATGATCTTAGTGTAGATCTGATCACATCAACCTCATGGCTGTCAGATAGTCAGTAGAATAGCTCTAGAGCATAATTCTTTTCTTTATTGAAAGACACGATGTGGTCTTTCTTTAGTATGGAATTTTTATTGAGTCATATGCATTAAAGATTAACTAAGTTACCATGTTGAGGTAAAAAGAAGGAAAATAAGGGAGGGGAACATTGATCCATAAGACATGGAAAAGGATTTGCAAGAGTACTAGCTTCAGGGAACAGCTAGTCTTCTATTGTGGTAGAATATAATTAAAGAAGCCAGTGAACAATCTGATGAGAAAAAGAACTCAGTGAGCTACATGTCGTGCTTTGTATTTCAGAGATTAATTGTACCGTATGGATTTTTTTTTTTTTATATTAGAATGGACTATATTGAATCTTTTCATTAAGTAACTCAATATTAATCAATCATCATGTCACATCACCATTTCCAATCATGGCTGTAAGTCTATTATATAACATATTATTTGCTTGGATACTTTTCAGTACCTTCCACAGAGTGGTTCTTTTCATAAATTGATTGTTCATCTTGTTCTTTGCAGCAAACATTGTCCTTGGATCTGGATCAATGCTTGGAAGGATTTTACCTCTTCCTTCCAACATTAATTCTAGACAAGACAAGAGGAATGTTCCACTTTTTCTTAGTCCTTTACAAGTAAGACCGACTGGCTCATAGTTGATGCTTTACATTAAGAGTATTCTTTTTTTTCCTGCTGTTCTATCTTCTATTTCAGTGTTATCCGATTGTCTCTGTCTTGTATGTTTTAGTGAGGAGCATTTTCTTTCATTTTGTGCTATCTGTGTTAAAAATTGTCTAACAAAGGAACAGAGTATTTGTGCATCCACCATGAGGATCCCCAACCTTTCCTATGCAATCTCAACTACCCTACCATTTTACCCTAAACTTTCCTGTGGTTATTTATTCATTTATTGTAATTGTAAGGAAAATAAATACCAAAACTATAATGTGTCTTTTCCTTGTTCTTATCACAACTGTGTTTCTGAAAGCATAACAAAGTAGTGCCAAAACTATTATTTTCCAAGTTGCAGCTCTGTCAATACATGGACGTATGATGTAAACAAGATGTTTTCCTTGCTTTTTTTTGATCAATAACAGAATTTCATTAGATTAATAAGAAATAGGTACAGAAATCCAGAGAGAGTTAAAAAGACTTAACTCTCTACAAGAGAGCAAAATAACATCTCACAATACAGCCCAGTACAATTGTTCCCTACCCACTCCCTGCTTTGCCAAAGCATCTGCAAACGCACTTGCTGTTCTTTTCAGCCACTGAAATTGGATGTCCATCCCCCTAGTTAGCCATTTGATTTCCTTTCTTTCATTAGCAAACTTCGAAAGACTGCTTCCCCTCTGTAACCAGATTAACACCAACTTTGAGTCCCCTTCAATAATTAACTTCTGTATATTCAGTTCCTTACTCTTTCTAATACCCTCCAGTACAGTGTAGATCTCAGCTCTAAGAGAGTCCCCAACCCCAATGGAGCACGAATACATTGCTACCTTCCCCTCCTCATCTCTGAAGACACCTAGCTTCACTACTCCCATCAAAATTTAACTTTATAAATCCATTGACAGGAGGTGACCACACAGGAGCAGCAGAAAATCGAGCTGATGCAGAGCCAGCCACTTCTATTCAGTTGTTCAACAACATAGCCGTAGAAACATCATCAAATAGCTGTACAGATTTTATCCAATGCACCACCCTAACTGTATGACCTCAATAATACCTTCTTTACTTCTTTCCTTTTCAGAAAAAAAGCAAGTCAGCCCTCACATATCTCCACATAATCCTTCCCCTTCTCTTTGGACATCTAAGGAACGATGAGCTAAACAAGCTTTGGATGTTTGACCGGGGGGGGGGTTCTACCTGCAACCAAAAAGAGAAAGAAAACCAATCCCAAATAACAAAAGCAAAATGACAAGAAATTAATAAGTGGTAGGAGCTTTCACCATTAGCCTTCCAGAGAATGCACCAACTAGGACATAAGCACCAAAGCACCAATAAGGCCTTTTCTTTTGGAGTAAATCACAAGTATTAAATCTTTCCAAGAAAACTTCCCAATAGAAAGCTCCAACCCTCAGAGGAATTGGCTTACTCCAATCTTCCTTAACTGGGAAATTTTGTGCAAAATTACTGGTAGAATGCAAAAGGGAATTAAAGAAGGAAGCACAAGAGAATGTCCTGGAGGGAGTTAGAGTCCACAGTCTCTTATCCCTCTTAGAGGGATCCAACACCACCCGATTTAGGATTTGAATCAGATTCATTGCATTTTCAGCTTCCGAATCCCTTAGGCCTCTCCTGAACCCCAGATCCATGTCAAACCCAAAGTTGGACTGAGAAGAACCAGGAAACTAGACACAAACTTGCCCTAATACCGAGAAAGTGAGAAGAGAAGAGAAGGAAATTGGTCTTTCAAAGGTAAAATCACCAACCCAAATGTGCTCTCAAAATTTTACCTGATTCCCATAACAAAGGTCATACTTGATGTGTTGTAGGAAGGAAGGTAGAATGGCATGAATGGATTTCCAAGGAGAAGCTCTAGTTGACCTTGCCAAAGACCTTGTATCCCAACCATCCTTTGCCTGACCATAAATACTGAAAATAACTCTATTCCACAGCTTCCCCCTCCCACCTTCCAACCTCCATAGCCATTTCCCCAACAAAGCCTCATTTTTCTTTCGAACATTACCTAGTCCTAACCCTCCACCAGCCCTACTTTTAGAGACCAAATCCCAATTTACCTTATGATCATTCTTCTCCTTCCTTGGTTCCCACAATAAGTCCCTCATCAACTTTTCCAGTAACTTACTTCACTGGGATTCTAAAAATTGATAAGTAATACACAGGCAAACTTGCCAATGTAGACTTAATCAATGTGATTCTGCCTCCCAGAGATACATAGTTCTTCTTCCAAGTGGCTAGCTTCTTTTGATACGTATCAATTATAGGGTTCCAAAAACTTTCTTTCTTCGGGTTGTCACCTAAGGGCATCCCCAAATAGTTCATAGGCCATTGAGCCATCACACACCCCAAAGCTTCAGCCCTTTCCCTTATAGCTCTTTCTTCCATATTAATCCCCATTACACAACTCTTATCAAAATTCATCTTCATATTAGACATCTTCTCAAATACTTGAACCACCAACTTCAAGTTTCTAGCTCATCTTACATCCCCCCCCTCACAAAACAAGATAGTATCATCAGCAAATTGTAAGTGAGTAATAGGCATACTATCTTTTCCAACCCTCCATCCCCTCACTAGACCTCACTAATATGCTCTCTCAATTAACCTCCCCAACACTTCTGCAATCAAGGTGAAAAGGAAAGGAGAAAGGGGGTCCCCCTGTCTAATTCCCCTTAAAGCTGGAAAGTGGTCCACTACAGTTCCATTCACTAGGATAGAATAATGACAAGTCTCAATACAGCCCAGTATTCATTTGCACCATTTCTTCCCGAAGCCAAAGCAATCCAACACTTGCATCAAAAAAGACCAATCAACCATATCAATCATAAGCCTTCTCTAGGTCCAACTTGCATACAATCCCTTTCTTCCTTGTTCTCTTCAGATCCTCCATGCATTCATTGGCAATTAAAATTTGATCCACAATCTGTCTATTTCCTACAAAGGTTCCTTGATTTTCTGAGGTTAAATCTGGAAGCACCTCTCTAATTCTTATAGACATGACCTTGGCAATTATCTTATATAAGCTATTCACCAAACTGATGTTTCTAAAGTCTCTCGGTTGACTTGCTCCCACTTTCTTTGGGACCAAAGCTTTAAAGGTTGAATTTAGTCCCGGATTTATCACCCCCTCTGGTGGAACTCATTGAATACTTTCATGATATCCTGTTTTAGAATCTCCCAGCAGTCCTGGTAAAAAACCATGGTGAATCCATCAGGTCCAGGTTCTTTAGATCTATCCATTGAGAAGATTTCTTCCCTAATTTCCACCATCTCAAACTCTCTTTCCAGCCACCTCTTTTTCTCCTCTGACAGTTTCGGCCAGTCCAAACCTTCAAACCTTCTAACTAGATGTTTCCCTTGTTATATTAGAGCAGTTTGCTATACTCTACGTATTTATAATATCCTTTTTGGTTTGTGATTGAAGAGGAAGCAATATAATGAACAAGGAGATTATATGAAGTTATGAACTAGTCTGTATGATGTTTGGCAATTAGGTAGCCTATCATCAAGGTAATAAACGAGAACCGTTAACTGGTAACAACTGCATCAACAAAAACTTTTATCAACAATCAAAAGGTAAGGAAGTAGTGGATATTCTCACTCCCAAAATGGGGGAAGAAAGAGGAAACCTCACAACCTCTCACTGGGCAGTTAATATTTAGGGGTGTAAGTTGGGCTGGATTAGGGTCAATCCTAGCTAAACCTGAGGTTTGGAACACCCAACCCAACTTTCAACCTGATGTAGTCAAACCCTAACCTAGTCAGACCTGGAGTTCTTCAATCCCTGCATTAACCAACCCAACCTGAAGTTGAAATCAGGTTAGGTTGGGTTGCAGTTGGTCCACTTTCTTCAATTTTTTCTTTTAGTTGGTGGTTTCTTCACTTCTTCTGCATTTAAAAATGATCTTCTCACTTCTCAGATTGAGGGTTAACCAGTTACGGTTGGCTTACTATACACAAAAAATCCTAGTCTTTGAACTTAGAATTGTTGATGCATATATATGTTAACTTGGGAGCTCATCCAGGTATATTGATGTCATAGTATCTACCTTCATTCACATGTCTAGTTTCAGCCAGCAGCCCACCCCTACCATGTGGGAATTTTTAAATACTACAAGAGTTTTTCAGTGGCCAATGTTTCTAAGGCAGAGATCCAATAAATGCAGGTGACTAGGGCTGTCTTGCACTGGGGGTGTGTGCACATGGCCAATCCAAAATGGTTCCCCTATTTGATGGATAGTCTAAGTTATTTTTTTTTGGGACTTCTTTGCCTGTGCCTTTGGGCATTTGCGTGTGTGTGGTTGGGGGAATGTTTCATAATAGGATTACTTAAGCTTGCCCTAACAGACCCACTCAGTTTCTGGAACTGAAGATATGATGTGGCCAATCTGAACTATTCATCACTCCATTTGTTCACTCACCCACTGAACATTTCCCTATAGACTATACTCTCCATTTATCGAAGCTCTTTTCTCCATTTAAAGTATCAATAATTAAAAAAAGATAAGAGGATTTTTAGGAAGACACCTAAAGCCCTTTTGGGCTCCTAACCATGCTGCCACAACAAACTGGGTTGTTTTTCAGACTTCTAAATTAAATGGTTCAACTAGTGAAAAAGATGCAAGAAAATGTCAAAGATAGATTTGACAAAGATAACTTTTAATGTCTTGAAAAACACAATATGTTATAGAAAGTGAACGAAATTAAAAAGGAACAATTTGAAGTCTCAATATTATAATGTGAATCATATTTTCAACTAATACATGATCTTGAACACCCTCTGTAAAGGGGTTATGCTTGATATGAGACATACTTTTGAGGTCTAAGTAAGGTTGCATCTTGAGGCATGCCCAAGAGGTGTTAAGCCTACATTCTCTTTTAAATATTTGGTGCCTATGGATAATAGATGCATATATTTGATTAGTTTATTGTATGATCCTATATTGGTTTGTTGCCTTGGATAATGAGTATATAAGGGCTGGATACTATCAAAATAAAGAAATTGTACTTTCTTTTGATTCATTCTAGGAGCGAATTATTAATATTTTCCATTTTGCCTATTATCTACTTTCTATTTTTTATAGGATTTGGCTTGTTATCTTTTTTCTATGTCAGCTGATGTTTTGATAAAATGACACATCCTTATTGTTACAATGTATTTAACATATTATGCTTTGGTTTGATATCTTTCTAGGAAGAAAGGCTCAGAAATCTACAGCATAGGTTGGAAGTGCCTTTTGATGGTTCTTGTGTGGAACACCAAGTAATCCTTTGTCCAACTTAATCTCCAAAATTCTCATATTGTCTATTAAGATCTGAGTTGAAAATGTCCTTGTTCCCTTGGTACTGAATTTATTGAACTGCATTTTGTTTCTTATTGAAAAATAACAAAATTTTACCTGGGCATTGACAAAATTAAGAACAGAAACTTAATAAATGTGAATGTAGGCTATTGATTTTATTCCATCACAAGCTGTTTAACTTCTATTATAATAAGGTTGAGCTGCATGCCTTGCATCATAGTATTTTCTACTAGCGGGGATCCGTGCGATGCATGGGCTTTGGTAAGCGAAAGTGAAACAATAGAAACACATAAGAGTAGACACTTTTTTATATTTTAATGTTTTAAATAATTATAATTATTTATGTTATATACTACTTTTAACAATTTTTTTTTTATAGTACAAAAGTAACAATAATTTATTTCAGCTAAATTAATAGTCTAATCTTTAATAAATAACAATAGTTTTTTTTTGGTATTTAGTGATATGCACCAGACTAATATGCCCCCCCCCCAAAAAAAAAAAACGTTGGTTGTTGCGGGAATCTAATCCGCGTCTATTCTGGAACAAACCAGCTAACCTACCAAGCCACCTCTTAGTTGGCTAATAAATAACAATAGTTTAATCTCCAATAATCATTGAAAATTTATAGAAAAAATAATAATTATTGAAAAATAAATTTATAACAAAAATACAATAAATACTGAAAATATATTAAATTAATCAATAAATAGTGTAATCTCCAATAATTTTAATCTCTAATAAATTTTAATCAATATATTATAATGAAAATACATAATTACTGAAAATAAATTTATAACAAAAATACAGTAAATCCAATAAGTACAATAAATTAATATATTACTCTCTTTTGTTTGTCACCAATTAATAAAATGTGAAATTAACAATCAAAAGAAAAATGTTGTTGGGGAAAAGGTTCAGTAATTCATCATGTAGTTGTGTCTAGAGTGATGCGATTTGTGCACTGAAGATGTGGTTAATCTAGTGGATCCCCTATGTGATCAACATTTTGTGGTCTTGGGAGTGGAAAACTAGATAACTTCTGGCTTTGTTTTGCACAAAGTTGCTGCTTTTGCATAGCAAAAATGGAAAATTTTATGATGAAGAGTTGGGTGGAGAATCTTCACCCATGCACACACATATGCTGTGTCTGTGTGTGGTATTTGTTTCCATTACATTATGATAAAACACTAGCATGCAAACCAATTTCTATAACCCATTCCCCCCATGATACCCATGATAGTGATCTGAAATGGCATTTGGTTGCAGGATGCACTCAAAGAACTGTGGGAATTGGCTTATCCTAATAGAGAACTCCCATCTCTAAAATCAGAGCTTTGGAAGGAGATGGGCTGGCAAGGTTCAGATCCTTCAACAGATTTTAGGTGTAATAACTTGGCTTGAAATGCTACCTTTCATATGCTCATCTTCTGAAGACATCATATCTGAATGTTATGTTTTCTCCTCAGGGGTGGTGGATTTATATCACTGGAGAATCTTATCTTTTTTGCCAAAAAATATCCGGTGAGCAATCTGTCTTTGTATTTCTTTTAAGTTCTAGCAAAATGTATTTGGAAGCTAACTATTCAAAAATTCAGAAACTGTGTTTGTAAAATGTAGTCTAAGAATCATGGTAACTTTCATTTTTTTTCCCATAATGTAGTCATCATTAAAGGAATATAAATCATTTTTGCTTTTTTTCTGAAGGTGTGGGTTTCTGTGGTTTTTGTGGCTTTAGCAATGCCACTGTGCCTAGCCAACTCCATATAATTGGAAGTTGGGATGAGGCTTAGATGATGATGATGATGATGAGCACTGTCACTGTGCCATTGACTGCAAATTGTCATTTTTTTTCAGTAAAATTAAAAATTTCTTGTACTAAAATCCAATCCAATACTCAACTTAACTAGCCTTAATCCCAACTACTTAGGGTTGACTAATAAAATTCAATCCAATCATATTTCCAATATCTGCACAAAGCCTTAAATGATCCTTAATGTGACTCCATAAATCTTTTGTCTTCTTACTTTGAATATTAGGCCCAAAGAAAATCATCAAGGATCGTATCATTTTTTAATAGTGGGTGTTTAACATCCTTTTCATTGCTCTTGCACATATAACATAAATTTGTTTAGTGAAAATTTCCTCTCTTTTTGGTGATCCATTGTAAGAGTACCGTCAAGTGCCACTAGCCATGCAAATGGTTCCACTCTAGGTGGGGTGGAATTACGCCAAATACCTTTACCTGATTGCATATAAATGTATGTAAAATGATTTTATAGTAAAATGTCCATTTGTTGATTCCTTCCACTCATCTTGCATCTGAGAATTCTGGAGAGAGATTCTCATCTTTAAGTTTTATGGGAAGGGGTGGGGGGATCCAAGAAGTTCCGTCTGGTAAAATGTGGAAAGGTATGTGAGCCAAAGGCAGGGGGGGGTTAGGGCTGAGAAAGATAAAAGTGTTTAATAAAGCATTGTTAGGGAAATGGCTGTGGAGGTTTTGGCAAGAGAGAGAAAAGGAAGCCTTATGGAGGAGTGAGGCTTGGGTGGGAACCAAGAGAAGTAAGGAGCTCCTTATGGAGTAAGTGTTTGGAAAGGAATTATGAGGTTTAATCAGGAGTTCAGGGGCTTGGTTAGATTCAAAGTGGGGGATGGATATAGGGTTAGGCTCTGGGAAGATGAATGGACTGAAGTAGGAAAACTGTGTGAGGTTTGCCCAAGGTTATGCAGGCTGACTGAACAAGTTACAATTGATCAGTGTTATGAGAGGAGAGGGGGGCAGTTGATCTGGAATCCAAAATTCAGAAGACCTTTATTGGACCATGAAGTGGAAGAGTGTATTATGCTGCTGGAAAAACTAGAAGGAATAAATATTTCAATTGCCAGAAAGATGGTTTGTGGTGGAAAGAGAGCAAAGATGGAAGATTCTCAGTAAAGTCATTATACAAGACACTAGTAAGAGATAGCCTAGAGTCAGGTCAGATAAAAGGAGTGTGGGGTAACCCGGTACCCACAAGAGTGGAGGCCTTTTGCTTGGTTGGTAGCCCATGACAGCATTCTCACTATGGATCACTTGAAGGATAGAGGATTTAAAATGGCGAGCTACTGTTATTTATGTCACATGGAGGAAGAGACGGTTCTTCATTTGTTTTTCTCCTGTATTATGGCAAACTTTATTTGGAAATTCTACTTCTTTCTGTTTGGAGAAAGTTTGTTTCAACCTTCTTCTCCAGAAGAACTATTCTCTTAAAGACCAAAACTCAAAGGGAGCAAGAAAGCCAGGATCCTGTGGAGCTGTGTTCCGTTTGCAGTCTGGTCACTTTGGAATGAGAGGAATAGAAGAGTATTTGAGGGCAGGTCAAAGAGCATTGGTGTTCTGGTAGCAACAGTGGGTAAACTTGTATCAGATTGGGTTCATCTTCCAGATTTCAATCAAGTGAAAAGAACTGATCTGTTAGAGAATTTCTGGAGTACACTAGATTTGCGTCCTTGTAACTAGGGATGCAAATGTATTGGATCAGATTTGAATCACGGTATATTCGAATCCGATCCGACACTGTTCATGTCGGATCCGATCCGATCCAATCTGATAGGACTCGATTTGAATTCGAAGCCTTTCGTTAAGTTGGATCTTTGGATCTGATCCGATCCAACTTGTTTTCTTTAAAAATTAATAAATTATTAAAAGAAAAATAAAATATACTAATTTAAATAAAGTAAAAACAAAAATGCAAGTATTTTTTTAATTATTTTCATCATATATATACATGTTTTTATAAAAAAATAAATAATATAACAAATTTATAAAAATATAATATAAAAATATATTTGTAAATAAATAACATATATATACATGTATTATATATATTTATATTTATAAATATATAATATATCGGATTGGATAGGGGGGATCCGAAACCGATCCGATCAAGGGTGATCCGAATTCGACCAAATAGGATTGGATCTCGAATCGGATCGGATCATGATCCGATCCATTTGCACCCCTACTTGTAACAATGAACTATTTTTAATTTGAGATTATTTGGAATTTGGGTTGGTGTGTCAACTTGACAACCAACTGTCATGTATATTGTACCTCTTTTTTCAGTTTTAATGAAATTCTCTTTTATCCTTCAAAAAAAAGTTTGCTAAACAGAGAAATACATCTAGTAACTTCTCTATCCAACTATGGTATTATAAATCTTGGACACTATTTTTTTGGTAGTAATTAAAAAGAAAATGAATTCTTGCATAATCTGTAGAGCCTAAGGTATACCTTGCATAATCTTCCAACTCCACAACACTCATCTTCCTAGAAATGAATTCTAGAACCTTCCCCCACCTTGAACTTTGTGAAATACAAAAACACATGAAAAAGCATAATCCCTTTCCAAACACTCTGTACTGAATCAAGCCTCTCTTGAATCCCGATCATGGTTCAAAGTATTGATACTCATAATACACAAAAATTGTGTATTGTGAGTTTTCAAACAGTGATTTTTTTTTTGGTTCAGTGTTTCAAGGATAAATATGTTAGGAGGGATTCTAATGTTAAACATATAGAAACCTCCTAAGTATTAGTATGTAGTGTTTCAGTGACCCTGAAAATTGATATGTATTGTACGATATGGGTATGATATGTATCTGTTTCGAATGCAGCTACAGTAACCCGAACCAGGAGAGAAGGAAGAAGAAGATGAAGAAGAAGAAAAGAGAAAGAGAGAACAGGAGGGTTTAGTCAAAACT